CCCTTTGTACGAACAAAAGTAAGAGAAATTCAGGATAAGAATACGAACATGTTCTTGCATGAGGCCCAACGTTATCAAAGGAGTGCAGATTAAAAGAGAGTTCATTCCAGAGCCTGGGGGCCAGAGAGGAGAAGGCACGGTCACCACGGGTCTTGAAGTGAGGGGAACCATCAGGACATGTTGATCCTGTGAGCGGAGGTCTCGTCTGGGGTTGTAAGGGGAAATGAGACTTTTAATGTATTCAGGTGCTTGGCCATGAAGAGCTCTGAAGGTGAGGACCAGGATTTTGAACCAGAAGTCAGTGAAGTTCTGCTAGGATCGGGGAGATGTGGGTGAATTTGGAGGTTCAGGTTAGGAGTCTTGCTGCTGAGTTTTGGACAAACTGAAGAGGATTTAACTGTTTCTGGTTAAGACAGGTGAACAAGCTGTTCCAATAGTCTAAACAGGTAGAAATGAAGGCATGAATTACCATTTCCAAGTCTGAACAGGACAGCAGGGGCCGGAGTTTAGAGATGTTCTGAAGCTGAAAGTATCATGTAGAAACCAGGTTCTTTATGTGTTTATCTAGAGACAGATCTGAGTCCAGATTTACTCCCAGGTTGTTCACATTCTGCTGAACAGTTGAACTCAAAGAGCTGAGATGTTCTTTTATTGTTGGGATTTTATTTTCAGGGGCCAGGATCAGTGTCTCTGTCTTACTGAGGTTTTAAAGTAACAAGTTGTCAGACAGCCACTGGTTAACTTTAGTGACACATTTTATAAGAGAGGTGAGCTTGTGGGTGGTGGAGTCATTAAAGGAGCAGTATAACTGCAGGTCATCTGCATAGAAACGGTAGGAGATGTCTGGGAAATTTTTGATGACCTSAGTCAGGGGGYGGATGTAGAGCAGGAATAGAACTGGGCCCAGGATGGAACCCTGTGGAACCCMACAGGWGAGTTTGGCTGAGTCTGAGAGAGATTGACCTAACAAGACTGAGAAAGAGCGGTCTGAGAGGTATGATTTGAACCAGTCTAGCACCACCTCGGATATCCCTATGTCTTTCAGGTTTAGAAGGAGAATAGTGATCGACAGGTCAAAGTCTGAGGACAGGTCCAGTCAGAGGAGGACAGAGTACATGTCTCTGAGGACAGGTCCAGTCACAGGAGGACAGAGTACATGTCTCTGAGGACAGGTCCAGTCAGAGGAGGACAGAGTACATGTCTCGATCAGCAGACATTAGCAGATCATTTGATACACGAAGGGCAGTCTCTGTAGAGTGTGATCTGTGGAAGCCAGATTGAAAGTGGTCAAAAAGATTATTTACATCCAAGTACGATGTTAGTTTTACTGAAACAATTTTCTCCAACACCTTAGACAGAAATGGTAGCTTTGAAATGGGCCGGTAGTTATTTAGGTCAGATGGGTTTAAAGACGTTTTTTTAATAAAGTTTCCACAACTGCAATTTTAAAGGATTCTGGGACACATCCTGATGTAAGAGAGAGGTTTACCAGGTCCGCAAGCGTGGGTCCTACTACGTGGTAAACGGCTTTTAAGAATCTGGGAGGTAAGATATCAAGAGGGGAGGCAGATGGTTTCATTTTTTAGATTTTGGTCCCAAGATTATTCACAGTTACCAGATCAAAAGAAGACCAGGAAGGAGTGAGAAGGGGGGGGGGTGTGAAAAGGAGCATGAGACGGTTGAGTTGAGATGCTGTTGTTCTCAATTTTAACGACAAAGTGTGTTAGAAAGTTGTTGGGACTGGCAGGTGAGCAGGCAGCAGGAGAGGAAATGACCAACGTGTCAGTGGTGCTGAATAAGGCTTTGGGTTTTTTTTTTTAAATYGGGAGACCAACTGAGCAAAATATTGAGACCTGGCATTTTTTATCATGGTCTGTGATAATCTGAGATCTCTAARGTGCACAGGCCTTCTGCACCTAAAAGAACATGGGTTTTCTTAAACATCAAAACTTGCAAATGTATTCTAGTAKACCTCAGTACTGTGACTCTAAAGCAGTAAATGAGTAAAAAATAACTTTAAAAAAATAATAATTGTACATGTTTTTAAAAGGCTGAGATAACTCTCTAAGATCGATCTTGGTCAGTGTTCTGGGAGTTGGAACAAGTTATTTCAAAGATCCTAATGTTTAAGTGCTGTGTTTTTAAGAAGTTTTATTTAAAATCACACCATCCAGTTCAGACTGATATTTGGAAACTGAAACTAAGTCTCCTGCCAACTGTGTTTCAGTGAGGACTGACTTTATTTCTGCTTCTCTGCTTGAGCTCTTGTTTGTTTCTGACAGTTTTTATCAGCTGTTTCTGCCCCCCCGGCTGCATCACAAGCTCTGACTATAGTTAGCCTGTCATGTGTTTTCATTTTGCTGCCTGTGGTGGAAAACAGAAGGAACAATTTGAAGTTTAATTAGTATTTTTTAGATTTAAAAATCTTTAAAAAATACTCCCTGAAGCCACTGTTTGGTTCTGATTTGAATCTGGATCAAATGAAACAATCACAGATGGTTCCTGTACAGATAAGAGCATGGTATTTGAGTTATGAATGGTTTCCTACAGGATGTTTCAGATAAAAGGATGTTTATACCACCTGCTGTGAATTTTACCACTATGTTTTTGTTTTGTTTGTTTTTTCATGGGTCTTCATCAAATCTAATTGTAAGTWCACATCTTGCAATAAATAAGTGTTGCATCTTTATTTTTCACAGAAAGAAGAAAAGGCRATGATCGCCAAAATGAGCAGACAGAGAACGAACTCTGTCACCCACAACAGCGGCCACTGGACCGACCGGCCCTTCTACAACCACCTGGGTGGACCCCAGATCTCCAAGGAGATCAGGAGGATGGTGAGGAAGATGAAAAACAACCCTCTGCTGTGTGGAACATTATATCTGTTCAGGTTATTAGAGGCCAGGTGATGATGATGATGATGATGCTGTTAACACATCATTAATGGTCAGAACCCTTCAGGGATAAACCTCAGTAAGCCTTGTCCTCTTTCAGGGTGATGTAATAATAAAAACAGTGATGTCATTAATGCAATAAATATTGGCCAACTTTACACAAAATATACAACATTACAGTACAGGGACTCAAAAGGTACCGAATAGTACGACCAAACAGAAACATGCCTTATAACTGGAATAAGCAGATTTAAACTTTTTGCCAATGAGGTCTGGTGTAAATCAGGATTCTGCTCTTTGTTTTTATGTGCACAAAGTTAATAAATTGCAATTTCAGGTAATAGTTTTGTTGTTGTTAGTGATGAAATCTCTCCTTGTTTGTTTAAACGTTCAGTGAGATGGAATGGAWGCTGCCAGGCGGAGCAGAGGAAATATTAGTGAATATTATTGTAATTAGTATGAGGCACATGACTGCATAAATATGTGTTTGTGTTGTAATGATGAAGCTAAATTATTCAGAGGCTCATAAAGGAACAAACAGCCTTTCTATGTAAATGATCTCTGTGATTATTAGTTTGTGTTTTCATGTGACCAGCATGCAGCAGCCCAGTGACTGGATGGTAAAAACCTCAGTCAGCAGATGTGACAGAGCAGAGCAGGAAGGGAACAGCGCCACCTAGTGAGGCTTCAGACACTTGAAATTCCAGCCAGCTTGGTTTTTGCAAACTGATCCGTGGATCCTTTTTTTCATTTTTTTGGAATATATAATAAAAAATAAAATAACAATCCATTTATTTTTTATATCTGTTTTTAAAATGAAAACAACAAATGACCAAAAGGTACACAGACCCAGTCTAAGAGGACATCAGAGCAGTCCTGCTTGTGTTGTCAAATGGACTCACATCAGAGTTCTTTAAAAGCCTGCAGACATACTTCTACCATGAACCTTTTTCATTTTAATCAGGTGCATTTTAATGTTTTTATGCTATTTGTGCATTAACATCAAGAAAACGGTAACTCCTGAAGATAAAACACATCTGCTGTAAATTCATCTTTTTACTTTTGCAAAAAACCAATAAGCATTTGACTCAACAGAAAGAACAAAGTGATCCTTTTTTTTCAGTGTAGTTTTTGCCTAAACTTGTTGTTGTGTTGTTCCAGAAAAGACATTGTGATGAAAGCTTTGTAGTGACACACTGTGCAGACAGAAGTTTATACTTGTTTTCTGTTTCATAATGAAGMTTACAGTGGGGTGTGAAAGTTTGGGCAGCCTTCTTAATTTTCCTGATTTACCTTTATAAATCACTGATTGTTTGGACAAAAAAAATCAGTAAAATATATCTTATAGGGGACAAACACAATGATATTTGAGAAGTAAAATGAAGTTTATATGATTTACAGAAAGTGTGCAATAATTGGTTAAACTAAATTAGGCAGGTGACTAAATTTGGGCACCATAGAAAAACCTTAACTCTATATTTAGTAGCTCCTCCTTTCACAGAAATAACAGCCTCTAAACTCTTCCTACAGCTTCTAATGAGAGTCTGGATTGTATCTGAAGGTATTTTAGACCATTCTTCTTTACAAAACATCTCTAGTTCATTCAGGTTTGATGGTT